ATTGAGGCATTTTTGAGCGGTAAACAGGCATTCTAATTTCAAAAAGATTCAAGTGAATTTATTTAAATAAATATTTTTTACTGTCTATAATTTACTGCTTTGCCTTTGTATTTGGAACAGTATTGATGTCACGAAATCATAAAGTTATAAAATTTTTTTTTTAAAAAGATCTAGTCGCCTTCGTTTTTTTTTTCTCGTTTCGAGACGTTCTTGAGCGGTAAACAGGCATTCTAATTTCAAAAAGTTTCATGACAAGCTTATTTAAATAAAGATTATTTATTCTTTTATTTATTTACTCCTAATTAATGTTTGTATTTGTATTAGAACATATCAAATTTTCTTTTCTTTTCTCACATGAAGATTCTATTTTAAGCGGCAACAAGCAATTCTAATTTTAAAATTGTTTAAATTCAAATTTATATAAATGCTGATTTTTTTATATATTTTATTTATTTCAATATAAATCATTCGTGTGTTAATCATCAGTGATTAGTGAATATTCCAAAATAATTTTCGATATTTTAATGGAATGGAACAATCATTTAAATATGAGACGATGTAGATTCGTCTTTTCTGTAATTGTATAAAATTACAGAATTTATTTTAAAGTCAGTTCCACATTAGCATTTACTGTATTATATAAGGACCTTCTACATGCTATTATAAGAACGAAATCTTTCTCAAATGTCCTCAAAACGGCCACAGGACTGCCGTGACCTGAGCAAACCGTTAAATAAACTACAGAATATGTTTTTACGTTATCTTCATAACTTAGGTGAATAAAATATTTACAACACTAGTACTTGCAAAAAAAAACGATTTAACTTGTTTTCAATGGTAGATTAAAAAATATTTATTGTTTATTGGACTGTTTATAAATACTAGTGGCTGCCTAGTGGTCAATATTCTACCATAATTAAGTGTGAACATTATTAAGGTTCTATTACAAAAATATCTTTGAACCATCAATAAAATCACAATTTAACCATCAATTTTAACAATAAACAAAAGAGTATATATACTTGTGTGTGACAAATATATGGTAATGTGTTTAGTGTTTTTTTTATAAAAATATTAGCAGAATGCTAATTTCACTCCTTTTATCTTCTATACTGTACTATTAGTATAAGTATGCGAAATTTCTTACCGAAAGGGTAAGAAATTTCGCACCGCACAATTTTCGTAAAAAGAAGTACAAAGTTTTTGCTTCAAGTATTAATATTATGATATGCCATGGGGCATTCTCAACTATCTAACCATTGGATAAAAACAGAAAGCAGTTAATGGGAATAATGGGAAAAGGTGAATTTGCGAATTTTTACATATTTACCTAAGTTAGGTAAATACGTAAAAATTCGCAGATTTTAGCACAAAAATCCATAGAATATAAACTAACATCAATTTGTTGATATTCTATAGATTTTTGTAGCGGATTATATTATAATTGTGTGGATGACATCCTTTTTTCATAGTCGGTTTATAAAATATGTACTAAATTATATTGAATAATGTACTGTCGCTCAGTTATTCGGACGTCTGGTGTAAACATTTATGTAAATGTTGGGTTCGCCTTGGGTTTACCTTGGTATTGTCTTGTTTCCGAATCCTGCTTTGGTTTACATCCTTTAAGAATTACAAGCTGATGTAAATGTTTATTACCCTTGTGGTTTCCCCTTTATAATCCACTAGCTTTTGCCTGCGGCTTCACTCGCGTTATTTTATCCCCTTAGAGGTGTAATTTATCAAAATCATTTCTTAGGGGATGCCTACGTCATAGTAGCTTTATACATGGAAAGTCTCTGCCCGATCGGTTTTAAATTGACAAAGTTTCATACAAACTTTCATCCCCTATTTTATCACTTTGGGGGTCGAATTAATCAAAATCCTTTCTTAGCGTCATAACATGGTAGATGCCAAATTTCAGCCCGATCCGTCCAGTGGTTTGGGCTGTGCGTTGATAGATCACTACATCAGTCACCTTATATTTAGATTTCCGCTTTTTTTTATTACTGGAATGGTAAATAAGCGGATGACCATATTACCGAAAATAGAATAACCATCGATTCTACTTAATATTGACAGCACTACGATCATTATAAAATAGTAGCTGACCACGTAAATGTTGTTTTGCCACATAAATTAAAATTGCTATTAAAAAATAAGGGTTCGTACTATACTAGAAAGGATCTGTGACAGAAATTAATCCACTTAAATATATACAGAAGTATCTTGGACCTTGTCGTAACGTGGAAGTGGTCTAGTGTACTGAGTAGTCATGCTCACTAAAATGTCCAGACTTGTGGCGGCGTGGTGGGCCGGGTCATCGGGCTCCATAAAATATGGTCAAGTAATAAGCGCAGTGATGGCTGGCTCATCGATCATACTCGTGAACGGGTGCTGCTTGTAGGGACTGGTCTGCTCTAATCACTACGACTGATTGCCTCTTATTAATTGTTTAACCAGTTGGTTGTGTACTTAATATTTTTTCTATTTGAGTATTTAATTGAATTAGTGCTAATTGGTAATTTGCATTCACACACTTAAACTTAAAAGTGTAAAGTAAGAATAAAATTATTTAAAAGAGCAACACGCAAGTTTAGTCCTCGTTCTTCTTGTCATGAGACAGCTTTCCGAATGAGCGGTAGATTAAAAAAAATGTGATGACTATTCAAAAGTGCTTCAATGTAAGTTTATTTGAATAATGATTTCTATTCTATTCATTCTTTCTTCATTCATTCATTCGATCTTTGGGGAAGGGCTTTTTTCAGCAGTGGACGTCTTCCAGGCTGAGATGATGATGATGATAATGATGATGATGATTGTTCATTCTATTCTTAACCTTAATAGTGTAACCATCCACGTCGCAGAAGTTGATCCGTTGGTGCCCATAGATTTGTATCATCCCTCTTTATCTATAAAAATGTTGTACCCGCTGTTATTGGTATTATTATAATTATTATATATTTTGATATTGTTATTTTAGATTTAGATTATATATAATTATTGTTTTGAATTAATAAATAATAATAAACTAATGCGTACCTCTTGCCTGTTGCGACTTAATATCGCCAATGGTTCCTTCAAAGTATCCAGCATGGAATTTTAAAAAAGCAAAGTTTCAACGACTGTATACTGAAATATCTAATTTAGACTGGACTAAAGTAATAAAAGAACAAAATGCTGATCAAGCTGTCGATACTTTTTATTCAATAACTAGCTGCACACGCGACTTCATCCGCGTGGAATATAAATTTATTTATCTAAAATAAAAGTAGCCTAAGTTACTCCTTATTACATCTGCTACCTGCCAAAAAAAGTCCCGTCAAAATCGGTCCAGCCATTCCAGAGATTAGCCGGAACAAATAGACAGACAGACAGACAAAAATTGTAAAAAATGTTATTTTGGTGTTTGTACCATATTTATATTCATATGCATGTAGTAAAAACGGTTATTTCAATATTACAAACAGACACTCCAATTTTATTTATATGTATAAATTAATAATGCTCTTGATAGATGTGTACCTCGTCATCAATATCAATTGCTGGACGTTCTCGTACGTATCCAGTATGGTTTAGCTTTGAATTATGTACTAACTATTCTCTTCAAAGTTTGTTATAAATTAGAAATTTAAACAGTTACTGTATCTAACCTTGAGTTGAGTTAACAAGCGTTCGTTAACCACAATATAATAACTTACACAACAAAAGTTATAGTAATTAATACGCACTGCAATGGTCTATGCAGTTTTTTTTTATATTTAGTAAGCATGACGTGTGATTTCTCTCGCTCACGTATTGTAAACACACGGAATGACAAAGTAGACTGCCACACTCACTACCCGTATTGAATTGAGAATATAAATGAAACTTGCTATTACCGGCGACTTGGTCTACTTTTATTGAGATGTTTATTGTTTATGTCCTCGTGATATTAATCTATTTTCACGTTAAATTTCATTAATATAAGTTTAGACGTTTAGTCATTAAAATGTAACACACAGACAGACATATTTTTGTATATTTCTTTCTTGTGTTATTTATATTGATATTCTAGTATAGAAATATGTATGTGAGAAAATCTAATTACATTAATTTAGCATAAGAGATTAAGATGTATTATGGTTATGAAAGCACCATTATTTTATCTAAACGTTACTGTGAAACACTTAAAATAATAATTATTTATTTACTTTAGTCAAATAATATGTAATAATAATATTTTACGCCAAATACAATTTAATTTCACACAACCAAAATTCACAAATAAAAAAAGTTCTATTCTTTTTTTTTAATTTTCAAACATTCCTTTTTTATTAAAATATTAGTTTTTTTCACTAATAAATTAATACGTTTATATGCAATCACTCGTACATATTTTTTTTATTACTTTTTATTTATATTTTAATTTATCAATTAATACCTAATGAATATGCATATATTAATATGTTATTGTTGGAGTTGCCACTCGTTTTTATTATGAATCCTTATGACTATCAGGTTAATTATAATAGCTACTGCATCGTTCGCGGATGCAACGTGCAGACGTGTTTTCCATGACTCATTGCAGCCCGCCGGTGTGCGCGATCTTGCGAAATTTATATAAGCACAAGATATCACCGGTTATATCTCATTTGATTCTTAAGCTGTCGATGCGTGCGGTCATCGGAGGTCACGCGATAACGACTTCAAACGAAACGCGTCGCGGGTACAAATCGTGCAGAAAAGAGTAAAAATTTATTTTTTTGTAAGAATTTTTTCGGCTTCGTTTCATGTCAATTGACATTTATACTAGTGATGGTTTAGTTATTTTTTATGATTCATTTAAACATGATGTAGTTAACTGTCATTAATATATATTGCTGAAACAATACCAATACATTTTTTGTTACAATAAACTACTTATGTGCTGTCAGTATTATTGTTTACGAAACTGCAATAAAAAGTGTACATAAATAGCGGAATGGAATTATAGCAAAGAAATGACAATAAATGAGTGCAATTAAAAACTAATAAACTAATTCAGTTCATACGAGTGTTACGTCAAAGTTACACGTTTATTTTTAAGTGGACAAACATTTTTGTTCTGTGCCTGACTTTAATTATTTTAAAAAAAAATGAAGGACATCGTTCAAATTTGGAACAGAGTGACGACTCGTCGATACTCAACAGTGAATACCACAGATCGGGAACTCTGCGATATATCGAGTAATCGATTAAAAAGAACAGATATCGATACATCCGCCATTGAAGCGAATTTGGCTGAATGCGAGGGTTTGAATAACAAATTCAATGATGATCTTGACTTCAGTCAGAGGAAAGATGCCATTATAAATCGATTATTTGAGAGGCGGAGAAAAGGTCAAGTAGCCAGACAACCAAAATGTAAGTAAATAAACTTTTTTCCATTCTACCCTTAATTTCACACAAAAATATTATTTATTGACAATAGACATTTATTTTATGTTTAATCTTCGGATTTTATTAACGGTTTCGAACATACTTAGTTTTATAGAAGTGTTGTGTCGTAAATATGTGACTATTTGGGTTGAGTGAATGAACTCATTGTTCTTTTTCTTATAATTATAATTCAACTCTTATCAATTTGTAAATATAACTGTGGAAAAAAATATTACGCACCTAATCTACATAAATACGCAGAAATGTATTTACTGCTAAAAAGTAATTATTTTTTATTATATAATAATAACCTTACTATGCTAATTGCTTGTAAAATAAACTGTCCCATTCGGAGACTGGGTGGGACAGATTATTAAGTTGTCCCAATTTGTTTACTAACATACAATAAGAGATTGTTACTAACAAGATGGACTATTGTTGTCTGAAAATAATTTATTAATTAAGTAATTAATAACAGGCTTCGCCCGCGGTTGCACTCGCGTTAAATTTCAGTATATAAATTTTAATAAAAAATATAGCCTATATGTTATTCTGATGTATGAGCTATATTACTATAAGGTTTCATCAAAATCTTTTCAGTAGTTTTTGCGTCAAAGAGTAACAAACATCCATCCATACTCACAAACTTTCACGTTTATAATATTAACAAGATATATTCCTGTAGTAGGTCCAATTTAGAGACTAATGATCTAAGAATAAAAACATATTAGTAGGTATTAGTTAAATAGTGTACAAGTTACGGTTAATATAAGCTTACGGTACGTTACTTAAAGCACTTGCGGTTTACCAAATAAAACGTCGCATATGAATAATTGTAGGTCATCGACCTGTTAATACGATCAATACCTAAGTATTAAGCATTATTTAGAGAAATCATTGTTTCTGAAATATAATAATAAATAATAATGCCATAAACATAAATAATAATTATAAATGGAAATAAAAATTTACAACACAAATTACAAATTATACTAAAAAAAGTTTTTTAATATAATATAATATATATGTATTTATATTTATTTTATTTATTTATTAAAACTTTAATGCACAAATACATAAATAAAGGTACACATGGCGGACTTAACACCTCGAGGCATTTTCTCCCAGTCAACCATTGGGCAAACAGAGATTCATGTTGGCGGTGCATTAACAAATTGAAATTATAATCTAAAAAAAATAAAATAATAAGAAGATCACTTTAATATGATTAAATATAAATACATATGCGAATATACTTATAAACTATAATACATAATATGAATAAATAATTATACATATATAAATATAACTACATACACGTACGTACCTACACACATACATACAAATACACATACAATTATAAATTTATACAAATCAACAGGGAAATTCAGATACATAGAGGTTATATAGTCGTAATTTAGCATCCCCTCCAAAGGAACACATTAAACAATTAAAACTTTTGCCGTATCAAATCGCGGCTCAAGTACTTAGTTAATATTATCATCCAATGACTTATTCAATACAACACAACAGTGAAACAACACAACACACAACACAACAAAAAAAACAAACAAATAAAATTAATTAAAAAAAAAAGTACCTTAGTAAATAATTTGACGGCCTCGATGGTCTAGTGGTTTAATACACTGCCTTACTTCCGGTGGTCGCGGGTTCGATTCCTCGCACATCACAAACATTTGTATTCGTGAGTATGATTGTTTATGTCAGTTTTTGAATTTTGAATTGAAATCTTTTTACTTGTTATAAGTAAAATTTGACGGCCTCTGTAGTATAGCGGTTTACTTTCGATGGTCGTGGGTTCAATTCCACGTACAGTACAAACATTTGTAGAAATAAATATAGATAGAGAGAATTGTATTCAAGAGTATGATTCTTATATGTCTGTGTATATTCTATATATATTATGTTTAGTTTTACAAGAAAAATAATTATCTAAGTATTTATATCAGTTATCAAGTACCCATAACTCAAGCTCTGCTTACCTTGGGATTAGATGGCGCTGTGTGAATTTTTGAGAGATATAATTATTTTTTTATTATTAAGTTACTCTTCAATCCGAAAACCTATTGTGAAAATCCATAATCGTTGTTTTCAACAAATTTATCGATTGAAGATAATGCATCATTAATTTATCGACAATGATCTTGATAAATCATTACACATGTCGAAACCAAATTTAATATTTCCACAAGATTCCGTTTTGTCCATGACTTAAATGGATTACGCAAAATTCAATGAAATATATAATCAATTTAGATATCTATATGTGTATATCTTCTAATACGGATGTATTAGAAGATATACACATATATGGATGGATATATAGTTGGATATATAGTTGGATGGATGGTATACATAGTTTTTTATGAATTACTAGCAGATTCGCGTAAACTCGTCTGCATCATAGTTACTTGACGTTTATCATTATAATTCGCTTAATTTACAAAATATCATTTCAAATTATAGCCTATATGTTATTCTTACGAATAAGCTATGTTACTGTAAAGTTTCATCAAAATCCGTTTAATAGTTTTTGTGTGACAGAGTAACAAACATCCGTACATCTATCCATCCATACTCAAAAACTTTCGCGTTCATAATACTAGTAAAATCGTATAAGCTATGTTACTGTAAGATTTCATCAAAATCCGTTGAGTAGTTTTTGTGTGACAGAGTAATAAACATCCGAACATCTATCCATCCATACTCAAAAACTTTCGCGTTCATAATACTAGTAAAATCGTATAAGCTATGTTACTGTAAGGTTTCATCAAAATCCGTTTAATAGTTTTTGTGTGACAGAGTAACAAACATCCGTACATCTATCGATCCATACTAACAATCTTTCGGGTTCATATATGTAATATTATGTTATGGTGATATTAGTAAGATAATGTAATGCAGTACCGAGGTAGAAAAAACTTTTTTCATACGCAAATGCTATAATAATGATGTGTATTTGCGTAAATTACTATAAATATTACAGTTAAATTACAAATTTGTATGCTAAGTAGTAGCAGAGTCTTGCGCATTCGCGACTGGGATCATTCGATTTAGTTCACAGCTCTCTTGAACACTAGTTCGCTCTTTTAGTTAGTTCGAACCCGACTCGATTCAGAGGAAAACAGTAGACTGGTCAACATCTATTATTTTTCCGGCAAATATGAGTTCTTGTTTTCTTTACCATAACATTTTGCGTTTTATCAGTTTTATTAAACGAACTAAAGAGCGAGAGATTTGCAAACTAATTTGTAGTTGGGAGTGCTCTTCAGATATAATTAATTCGCGTTTAATATTTATTTAGACAAATTAATAAATATAAAGATAATCTTCCATTTCTTTGTAATTTGCCGGCCCTGGTGGTTAGCGGTTTCTTTGTCCAACGGTCACGGGTTCGATTCCTCGCATAGTACAAACATTACACTATTCATGAGTATGATTATTTGTATTGATCTAGATGTTTCCTGTTTATATTATGTATATATTTACAAAAAAATAAGTATTTATATCAGTTGTCTAGTACCATAACACAAGCTCCGCTTAGCTAGGGAACAGATAATGTTGTGTGAATAGTCCAGGATTATTATTATTATAATTTCAATAAATTCAAAGAAGAATTAAATATATAAATAAACATTTAATCAAGCCACTGCCAATAGAAGGTTTCATTTTGATAGTTAATTGTTGTCTATTGTACGCGATATCATTAAAAGGTACATTTTAAATTATTATTTAATGATGTTGTTTGACCCTCTTTAATAAATATTTGTAAATCGATTCTCAAATACATTAATCGTTTAACCGGTTTTCAGTAATAGGTTAAGCATTTTATCAATAACTAAGATGGCGCCAATATTTTTTATTTTTAAATTACTACTAAACCATAGATAATAGATAATATTATGCGTTCAAAATTAAGGGAATTTTGGGGTAAAATTAAGAAATGAAAACAAAAATAGACACAAGTGTAGCTACGAATGTAGTACATGTAATAACATTTCGGATATTATTTTTTACAATTCAATATGATTTTAATAATTCCTATTTGTTTAATACCAGCTTAATACTTCAAAGTAGATTGTATCTAAAGACATAACTGCTTCTCTCTAAGTGACATAAAAATTAAGAACATCAACGGATGTGGTTTACAATTAGGTAATAAACCAATTATCACTCATTTCTTCTACATTAACAGTAAAACATTTGGTTTTATCGTTTTTTTTATTAAAAAATACAATATTTTAAATTTATTTCATGTATTACTCAAGTACATGAACAAGTTAATATGTAAAAATATATGAATGATTATCCAACTAGACATACAGTAATATTGTGTGTAAGTACGAGTATACAACTAGGCACCAACCACTGCTTTGCACGGATGCGTATTGTAGATATTGTTATTTTTTTTATTGAATACATCATCGCTGAGAGCTATATTTATTACATACATTGTTTATGTTTTACATACAAATAATCACATATTTAAACTTTTATAACTTTATTATAAGGTACGTATAGATCAAAATTCTTTATCTTTTACATAAAAATAATCACAGCTTTACACTTTTATAATTTCACTTTAGGTGTACGGCCAATTGATCTACCATAAGTAACACCTAGAGTAGATGCGTTTATCACACGTTACGACAAAGAAACGGTTCATTTAAAAACACGGAAAAGTATCTCTTGAGGTCGTTTTGTTGACGACAAAGCCTATAAACGTTTTAGTATGTAATTTATCTATTTACATGCGTACTGTTGAGGAAAACGTAATAATGAAATAATGATATAACTATTTTAATGGTGTCGTGTACCTTTATGTTTGATATCAGAGAAGCTATTGCGATAGAAGGAGCAAATGTGTAATTGATGGTAAAAGATAGTTAGATATAAATGTACAAGCTCATTTGAAACGATAAGAGCTGGTTTCTTGTCAGTTCTTCTCAGCTTGAAAGCACTCC